GAGCTAAACTTTTATTTTCTTCAAATATACTACATGAATTAATATATTTTAGTTGCCTAGCATTGAATCTGATAAAGAAAGTTCCACGGATAAAAGTAACTTTGTACCTTGGCCTAAGAACACTGTATCAGGCAAAATAAAAGTTTTTTTTTGATACAAAAAATATTTGTACTTAGGTAATTGCATTTTATTCTACCAGCTAATTTCTACTTTCTAATCCTAGAGAACTTCCCAGTTGTGCAACCATTTTAGTTTCTCCCATATTCAATTATAGGATGCATTTGTTTATTTTTAGCTTATTTGACACTTTTTTTTTGAGTAAGAAGGTTTTAATTGCCTGTTTGAATTTTAAATGAGACCACCTTTCCAAGGGTAATAAGGAATATGGCTTGAGTGGGTTAGACTATTTTTTCTTGCCAATTTCTGTAGATTGGTGGCAGTAAAATGCATATTTTGGTCAGAAGAAACATATAGGGGGGTCCCTAATTGATAAGGGATTTACTTGTCCAAAGCTTTAAGTGTAGGTTACTTCTGTTACAGAATATATTAGCTAAAGTAGAATAGGTATCAACATTGCTTTGTATCCTCCTAAAGCTACTAGCCGCTGGTCAAATGAACCAGCTGTACTTCAGTACTTGTTCTTAGGGAATTTTACCTACAGTCACCTTCATAGGATTCATTTTTTATTGTCATTGGCACAATATATTTTTTTTTTGTCACATTAATCATATCAGTTCACAGGGAAAGTGGGACCTCTCAGCACTTTGATGCAGGGCTTGAACACCTACCTGCTTGTTTATTTTATGAGCTCAGGAAGTTGGCTGTAAAGAGAAAATGTATGCCTTAGGACTACAACCTTCATCCCAGCGGGCACCTGGAGACTGCTGCTCCTGCTGCCTTTCTTCCTTCTCCTCCTCCTCTCTTCCTTCCTCCTTCTCCCTCCCCCTCCCCTTCTGTACCCCCTCCTCTTCTCCCTCCTCTTTTTTTTTTTCTGGTAGAAACAATTACATGATTCACTTTAATTCTTCTTCTAAATTCCCAAAATATTTCCATAACTGGATGCTCCATTCAGTGATGTTTCTTGCCATAAGTGACTATTCCAAACAAAAATATTCTTTACCATAAAGATTGATCAATTCTAGGGTTTTTTTATTTTTGGTGTTTTTTTGTTTTTTATTAGTCAGAGTCTTACTCTGTTACCAGGCGCCATGCTGGAGTGCAGTGGTGCAGTCTGGGCTCACTGTAACCTCCACCTCCCAGGTTCAGGCAATTCTCCTGCCTCAGCCTCCTGAGTAGCTGGGACTACAGGCGCGTGCCACCCTGTCCAGCTAAGTTTTGTATTTTTAGTAGAGATGGGGTTTCACCATGTGGTCAGGATGGTCTCGATCTCTTGACCTCGTGATCCACCTGCCTCGGGCTCCCAAAGTGCTGGGATTACAGGTGTGAGCCACTGCGCCCGGCCCCAGTTCTAGGGTATTTTTTTATTGTTCAGTCATATAGAGCCAATTTGCCTGATCATACAGCAAGGCAATTGGCTAACAGATCAAGAATGTGAATATCCAAATACTTCCTGGAGTCTGTGAACTTCAGTTCTACCCTTAAATAGACATCTCTCATTTCTTGCCTTGCCTTCTTTTGTCAAGCATTAACTATTTGGAGTTCATGTTCTTACTAGTTTCCAAATAGCACTGCAGCCAAATGTATCCTGCAGTAAAAAGTTATGAGTTAATACAACGTACAAAAATATGATTAGATTTCAGAATCCTAATGTTAAGTAAAAACAAATGTGGTGAATACTCCTTATAGTATAATATTTTCATAATGTTCAATATGGAAAGGAATTAATACATTGATGGGGGACTCATATAGGTAATAAAACTATTTTTTAAAGGCATTAGGTTAATAAAAAATTTCTTATCTGGAGAAAAGATAGTAAAAAAATTTTTAATGAACAATTTTAGATGCAATGTTATGAGTAATACTAGTTCAGAAGATGAGTAGTGGTTCAGAGATGTACATTGTACTATTGTTCTGAATGATTTATATATATATATAGTATTTAATTTATACACACGAGCTTTTGAGAAAGTTATTTTATGGCATCTATGAGGTGTTGTGTCTGGTTAGAATCCTTAGGTTTTTCAATAATCTAGCATATAACTAGGATAATATAAATGTTGGAAAAACCTTTTTGTTCTTCCAGATCTTTTGGATCTGGGTCTTATTTTTACCCTGGAAACTAGCAATTGTAATAAGGACCAAAAATAATAGAATGACTGAGATTCCTCCCAGCACTGCCTATTTAAAAATATGAGACTGCATTCAAATACGATTCCAATTATTACATTAAAACCAGTGTAAATAAGTAAGAGTTATACTTTATTAAGAAAAGAAAAATAAATATTTCTGTACCTGTGCAAATTATGTCTTTTGGTAAAGAGATAAGCTATTATTGGAGGGGATAGATAATGAATAGATCTTGATGCACAGTCTGGGGGAATTATATTGGGCCAGGATCATACATGCAAATAGGAAAATTTTAGAATCTATATTATCAGTCTTTGCTGCTTCAGAAACAGGAATTATTACATTCATAAACTTGGAAAGGTATTGATCATTACTTAATCAACCTTATATCGGTGGTGAAATAATTGCAGAGTAAAATGTCTGTGGGTTGCCTCTGAGGTAGGAGGTGAGACTCAACTCCAAAGATGGGTCTCAGACAGCAGACCAGATTGAGGACTAGCAGAAGCTATGGACAGACAGAACCAGCTTTCCAAAAACACACACCCCAGCGTGCCATGCCAGTTTACTGTTGCCATGACAACAACTGGGCGTTACCACCTTATCTTTTACAACCGGAAAGTCATCATCCACAATTTACCACCATTTCCTAGTAATTTATGCATAAACCAGCCCTTAATCTGCATGTCACTAAAAGCTGGTATAAATATGACTGCAAATGTGCCCGAGGTGCTCCTCTTAGAACACTGTCCTGATGAAGGGGAGCAGCCACAGAGCTGTGACGCTGCCTGAGCTGTCGCACCATGGGAGCCGCAACATTGCCACTTCAGTAACACCCTCCTGGGCTAAGCCCAGGTTGCTTCTTGCCAGCCCTGTATCACATCCAATATTAATAACAGTCTAATCCAGGAAGAAACATGGTAATAGAGAATCTTTTTACTTCAAACCTAGGCTGGGTGGTGCTTCTTATATCAGCAACAAAGAAAATGGCTTTTATAATCATGTCCATTATCATCAGTTCACAGTACGAAGGCAAACAGAGCATACCCACGAAAATAGACTCAAGAGAACTTCTAACTCTGTGTGTAGTGTAGTATTAAATCTGCATTTTCCTCCCAACCTATGTATCTAAATATGTTACGCTTACAGTGGACATGCAATACATTTTTGGAATAAAGTAAAATTGTCTCTGAATCCCATCTTACATAAAATGCCAGAATTAAATTAGAATAGTTCTCAGCTGTTGGTGATGCAGCTTAATTTGACGGAAAAAATATAATGTAGTCACACAATTAGATTTAAATCCCCATTCTGAAGTATAGTAGTCACATTATCTACTTTTTTGGATGGCTATGACTTTATTTGTAAACTAAATTCATTTACATTGAAGGATTGGCAAGAGGGAAATGCCTGGCAAACAGTAACTCAACAAATTGTAACTAGTACAACCATTTGTAAATATCACAAAATAGAGACTCTATCACATAGCAGATGCTGTGCTTTGCTTTTTTTTCTTCATTTAACTTGTATTATATATAGACAGACCCTCCAGATTTGAAAAATCTTTAATATGATCCACATTACTAATGCGTTATATATGGGGCATTATGCGTAATTTTGTTTCTGTTTTTAATTTTCCCACCATTATGCTGCCGATGATACTAGAATATTTTTTGTTTTGTTTAGTGTTCATATTATAATAAAATAAAAAGCAAGTGCATTAATGACTGCTACACTGGAAGTGCTCAGTTAACGTTAGCTAATATTATTATATTTATATATATATGATTCATTTCTAAGACATGCTATTATAGATAATTATTGAAGCTGGAATTATATAGTATGAAAAACATTAACTGTTATTCAGTAGTCTCTGTTAACTAATATAATCAAGAACTGTTCAAACATTTTTCTAGAGTTACATTTTACAAGTTATTGATATATTTTAAGATGAAACTTATCAGATGAATGAAACTTTGAAACATGAAACAGCAATATTGTTAGAAAATTAGTTAATGGCTTACCATCAAGAGTTTTGCAACATAATTTATTCTAATAACTAAATAACAAGTTTTGTTTTGAGATTATCTAATAATATATTTAAAATAAAATTATATTTTAATGTCTCATATAAATATAAACATATGGAATAATGTAAGCTATATTAAATATGTGTTTTATACTCCATGGACCATTAATGGCATAGCTACAAAATATTTTAAAAAATCACACAAGGCTATACTTAAAATGGAGTATAGGTAGAATTTGGAAACATAATGTAATAGTTTAAAATTCATGCAACTATTGGAGCTGTATAACTACTGTTTGAATCTTGATTCTACTCAAAGCTCTGTGGATTAGTTCAAATTCTTCATATTTGGATATAGTGGAATAATAGCTCTGGAGAATATGTTTTAACATAATAATTATATATAAATTCACATTATATATCACCATTTATCTGTGGCTAATATAACTGACTTGATAGTTTGACAGAAAAATTCTCTCTTTTCTCTCTCTCTAAATATATATACATGTGTGTATGCATATATATTTGCAGATTTAACACACATATATATGTGAAGGGCCTGTGTAATCATTTATCAATTTATATATATCATGAATCAAATTGTATATATATTTTTATACTAGCATGTATATATAGCTTTTTGACAATATCTTGACACATTACACTTTGAAATATAGTTCTCTTGTGGATATAATAAATAATAGCTCAGCAAAACATGAATCATGTTTTACACATCAGATATATATATATATCTATGTATATATATTTCATTCTTTTATACTTAAAATTAATTAGAAAAGAAGCATACACATTCCTGTCTTTCTTTTGGTTACTTCAGTAAAAATGTCAGTGTTTCAGAAAAATCAGTTCCTTCTTATTTATGGAAGAGTTTATCAGAGCATAAAAATATCTATTGTTTATATTGCTGTAGAATATATGTTGGTAACTTTCATACACCATTGAGAAATGGTTCCAACCACTTGCATTCTGGGTTTATTCATGAAACACATAAAGTTACTGCTCTATATTTTCTCCTTTCTTCTCCATAGGGGCAAAAGGACTATAAATTTACCATCTGCTCTAAGACTTTCATGCCATAAAGACTGCAGTTAAAACTATGGTAATAGCTCAGTTCAGACAAGAATGATACCTTAATTTTCATTTCTTATAGGGTAAGTTAATTAAATCCATTAAAACCATTTTATGCCTCCATAAGGCTACTCAGGTTCTTGCTTGCTGCCATTTTAAAATTCCAGTCTAAATTCTGCATATTTTTTGTCTTCATAATTTCATTCCTACAAAGTCCAGTTTTATAGTGTGTTGGCTCACATATTTAGCAGTTAAAATATGTTTAAAATAGTATATTTTATACAGTTTGTTACTGAGGTTAAAATTTTATTGTTATTGAACACAAATACATCTATTGAGTAAAATAAATCATCTAAGCATTCGTCTGTGTCCAGTATCATGCTGATTGCATGCACACAAATGAGCATAATACACAGGACCCCAGAGATGAAAAGTCGATTCTGAAGCTGCTCATTCTATGTCACCTAAAGTGAATAAAATTCATAAAATACAATACAATAAGTATATTATGTGTCACAGTTTTAAATACCTACAATGTAAAAGTTATCAGGTCTTGTCTTCTGTTTCTAGCCTAGTGTTGGATACCAAGTAGGATATTGTTGGAATCAAGTTTTTTTTTTAAAGCGTTTTAAGAAAATAGAAGAAAGACAAAATCCATTTGGTAGCATTTGTGAAGACGTGTTGGAGGATTCTTTAATGATTAAAAATTTTTCCAGGGTGAGAAATAGAGGAATACATATACGTAAAAGGAAACAACTTGTTATTCATGTAGTGATTCCCTGCATTCATTAGTGACTCAAAATTTAGTAAACAATTTTGTGGAATTCTTTAATATTTTAAGCCAAAAGTTCATTCATTTATTCAGCTGGCAAGTATTTATTGATTGCCAACCATGTGCCTGGGGATGCAATGGTATTCAAGACGTGTTGAGCTTAAATTCTCCTGAGAAAGAATAAATTCAGGTATAGTGTGTGATGCAGGCTAGAGTACGGGAAGAAGAAGGTGGTCTGGGACACAAAAGGCGCATCCATTGAACTCCAAACACTTCAGAAAACACTTCGGTTAAACAGATATTTAAATTAAAGGGCATTAAAATTGTTACCGAGTATGTTGCTTAATGATAGCTTAGATTATAGGCAGAGAAGCTGCGGATAACTCCTTCTCTAAAATTATATTAATTCCCTTTGAAACTGTTGTTCTTGCTAGTTAGAAGACTTGGTTCAATTAAAATACACACCAACTGTTATTTAGTTTTAACTTTAATTTTGTGACTGTCCCACTCCAGAGTACTTTGAAAACTTTAAGAGTGGTTGACGTATTTCTTTCAAGAGTGAAAAAATAGAATTCTTAGATAACTTTCTCTTGGAGTCTATGATTGACTACTAATTAAATAACTTTCTGAAATGTATTTGATATATTTTCTGCTAGTTGTCTACTTGAAATAGTCTATTAAAAACTCGAAAACCCTCAACTTTAAAAAACCACTGCATTTTTCTTCTCAGATATCGAAGCATTCAATGTTTTTACAATTATCCTCAGTTTGATTAATGCAATATTTTTAGTTTTCAAAAACTGCGAATGAATACATATTATCATGTTCTACTCCATCTAAGCGATGCCTTTACCATTTTCTTGTAAAAACATCTATCGTATAATTTACAATATATTTCTTTTCATAAACATTCACAGACACAAAATTAATAAAAGCAGATTGTATAATGTATTCATATTAAAGAACGTTAAAAAGGCATATGTCATAAAATTAAAGATGTTTAACTCAATGGAGTCTAACTTTAAATTAGCATTACTCTGGAAAATATTTCTTAATTCTGAGATGAAAAATATTTCCAAGTCGAGAACACGTGGGAAATAGAAACCACTGAGGTTTTTATTATCCCCACACCCATCAAAACAAAATTCTATGTTCCACAAATATAATTGAGCATCTACATTGAGCACCAGAAACTCTTACAAATGATAATGAAGATAAAAGAACGAGTGAAACTGATAAGCTAGCATAACCAGAATCCTGGAAGTTATTTGGGGATGTTGGCTTTCTTCCCTAATCCATGTACTCATTCATACATTAATTTTTTTCATGATATATTGAAGACATTATCTTTTCCTGTTTGACTACTGCAGTACTAGGTATTGTGAATTCAACAGTGAGCAAAATAAGCTTAGATTTGTTTTCTTATTACCTACTGCAAAAGATAGAATTTATGCAAATAATCAAAAAGTTAATATATAGTTATATTGAATATAATGCAAGAAAATTAAATGCAATATGTAATTGCAAGGTATAAAATGGCTTTTCCTGAAGAACTGACATTTAATATAAAGTTGAAGCCTGTCTAGAAAGTAGTAATATTAATTTTAGGGAAGGGATATTCCAGGCAGAGCACTTAATGTTTAAAATTTCTACAACATAAAGGAGTGAGACACATTCAAGGACCTGAGAAAAACCTAGTGAATGTGGCATGAGAGGAGCAAAAGGAGCTGACATTAAATGAAGAAATAAGTACGAACAGGCTGAGTGGGCCATTGCAAACTATATTGACTGTTTTCTATTTAAATAAATTTTAAAAACCATTTAAAATGATTATGGCATTAAAAAATTGGTAACAAATGACTTCTAGACAGAATTGCTGTGTGAATGGTTATCTTTTTAAAAAAGCATCTTTTGAAGAATAGACGTCCATTTTATAACAAAATCTAAATCCGGCCTTCTTTCTCATTGGTAGCATAATTTCTTTACAAATTTGCTAAATTTAACAGTTATTAAGGTGAAAGTGTATATTCATGCCCCTTTGTTTTTATACTCTAAGGACAATATATAAACATAGTATTTGAAAAAGGATTATTTTCTTGAATATAATTTTAAAAATAACACATAATGTTAAAGTAGAGTTTTCTATGTTAAATGTGTTAGAGATTTTGGTTTAAGTTTAACTAATATTACCTTTGACCCTTTATGCTACCTAAATGAAACTTCCGAAGCTTTGTAAAATACAGTATCAGGGCCAGCAGCATGGAATAGCAGAGTCAGATTTTCCGTTAGTGTTAGTGAGTCATCTTTAGTGTTATTTGTTCCTTCTGTAATTATTTTCTTTTGTATCAAGGAGAGAAAATAAAATACACTGATGAAATATGGGTTTAGCTAATCCTACTTTTAAACATTGCACACAGTAGGATTTATGAGCAACCATCTCACTTTCATATATGGTTATAAGTAAATATGTAAGCCTAGGCTTAGAAATAGCATACTTTTTGCCACATTCTAGTGTCAGGAAAATGATAAATTTAATTTAGATTGAATATCAGCAAATAGACTCTACCGCTTAATGGGAGAGCTGCGAAATCATATTGTAAGGGCCTTAGACTACGAGGAGAGAAAGAAATGAAGATATTTTTATCCATCTACTACTATGGCTTGTTTATCCAAGGAAATGCTCCTTACCAATAATCAAAAGTGGTTTAACAATTCTACCAGCAGTTTACGCAAGGTTTAGTTGGTCCACATCCTTACCAGGAGATGGTGTGTTCATTTTTGTTCTCCCTCATTCCAATATGCTTGTGTAGTAGTAGCAATTTGTGGTACTCTAAATATTCTGAAGGTACTTGCCACAAAAATGTTAAGTGTATCTTGTATAAACTACAATAAACATAATTATTACTCTCTGACAATACCAAGTGATTTTAGTGAACAGATTCTTACCCATTGTTGGTGGGGACTTTAGTACTTTTGTAAAACTACTTTAGAAAATAATTGGACCATATTGAGTTAATCCGAATTCATGTATAAACAAGGATTCTTCAATTGCACTCCTACGGGTAGATGCTACAGAAATAAATCCTTATGTGTACTAGAATATATACAGAAGAATGTTCTCTGTACTATTATTCACAGTGACCCCATACTGAAAGCAATTCAAATGTGGATTAGCAATAGAAAAAATAAATAAACTAGTTCTATTTATACAATGGATCACTACAATATAATAAAAATGAATGTACTGCATCTGCTGACACATTAGGATGAATCTTAAAGTATGTTAAAAAAATCTAAATGCAAAATTATACTCTAGCTTTTATTCTACTTGTATAAAGCTCAAAACATGACGCAAACTGTATTTTTAAGGATTCATGCTTATGTAGTAAAATTATGAAAAAAAGCAATCATTAAAAATTCAGAATAAGGGTTGTTTTATTTTGAGAGAGGTCTGTGACAGAATAGGAAACATACGCAAACTAGACACACAAAAATTTGGAGGGAATTTAAAGAATGTTTGATTGGCACAGTGGCTCATGCCTGTAATCCTAGTATTTTGGGAAGCTGAGGTGAGTGGATCACCTAAGGTCAGGAGTTCGAGGCCAGCCTGGCCAACATGGCGAAACCCTGTCTCTACTAAAATTACAAAAAAATACAAAATTAGCCAGGTTTGGTGGCCTTTCCCTGTAGTCTCAGCTACTCAGGAGGCTAAGGCAGGAGAATTGGTTGAACCCAGGAGACGGACTCCTCTCAAAAAAAAAGTTAGCAATATTTTGTTTTTTTAATTTGAGACGGAGTTTCGCTCTTGTTACCCAGGCTGGAGTGCAATGGCGCGATCTCGGCTCACCGCCACCTCCGCCCCCTGGGTTCAGGCAATTCTCCTGCCTCAGCCTCCTGAGTAGCTGGGATTACAGGCACGCACCACCATGCCCAGCTAATTTTTTTTTTGTATTTTTAGTAGAGACGGGGTTTCGCCATGTTGACTGGGATGGTCTCTATCTCTTGACCTCGTGATCCACCCGCCTAATATTCTGTTTTTTAACTTGGATAGTGTTACACAGGTTTGGATAAATAATCTATGTTGTATTTGGTTGCTCTTTCATGCAACATTGTAATTTAAGAATGAATAGATTTGTTTATGTTGCCATTTATGACACCATTTGTGTCCTGTTGCAAACTTAAACTTTGGAGCACAGAAACTTTCTAAAAGAATAATATGTATAAATTAAGAAACTAAAACACATTTTTAATATTTTGATTTCCAGTACTATCTTTTAAAATTTTGTTTCTTCTCAGTGTATGCCAATTTTT